GAAAGGAGAAAGGGGAAAGGAAAGGAAAGAAAAAAAAGGAAAAGGAAGGAAAAGGAAAGGAAAAAGAAAAAAAGAAAAGGAGAAAGGAAAGGAAAGAAAAAAAAGGAAAAGGAAAAAAAGGGGGAGGGGGAGAATTTACCGTCACCTTCTTCCTCATCCTCCTCTTCGTCGCCAACCTCTTCCTCTTCATCATCTACCTCGTTGTCCGCCTCCTGCTCGCCATTTTCCTCGTTCTCCTTTGCGGAAATGAAGCACACTTAAAAACAAAAAATGGGGGGAGCCTGCCAAAACCCCCCCCCCATTCATCAAATCCCCCCTTTAATACACCTGCCTATTGCACTGCAAACTTGTGTTTTATTTTTGGGTAGCAGCCATACACCTATTGCACGCCTCTACCTCAAGCGGCCAGGTTCAGGGAATTCTGGGAGTTGAAGTCCACGAGTCCTAAAAGGGCCATGATTCCCCACCCATAAACTGGCTGGGGAATTCTGGGAGTTGAAGTCCGCATGTCTTCAATGGACTATGGTTGAGATACACTACTTTATACTCCTTATTATCAATAAAATCACTTGAAACACGGACCGCTGTTCCTTCCTTGCAGGAAAACAATATCCTGGGCTCACACGTTAAAACAAGAGTTCAGATTCACAGAATAACAAGAGTTGGGAGGGACCTTAGAGGTCTTCTAGTCCAACCCTGTGCTCAAGCAGGAAACCCTATACCATGAGCCACAGTGGTGCAGTGGTTAAGAGTGCAGTACTGCAGGCGACTTCTGCTGACTGCCGGCTGCCTGCAGTTGGGCAGTTCGAATCTCACCAGGCTCAAGGTTGTCTCAGCCTTTCGTCCTTCCGAGGTGGGTAAAATGAGGACCCACATTGTTGGGGGGCAAGAGGCTGACTCTGCAAACCGCTTAGAGAGGGTTGTAAAGCACTGTGAAGCGGTATATAGAGTCTTAGGTGCTATTGCTATTTCAGACAAATAGTATTTATTTATAGTAATATGTCAGTCTAGTCTCTTCAGTGTTGGAGTATCCACAACTTCTGGTGGCAAGCTGTTCCACTGGTTAACTGTCCTTACTGTTAGGCAGTTTCTCCCTAATTCCAGGTTGCTTCTCTCCTTAATTCGTTTCCATCCATTGCTTCTTGTCCTGCCCCTTCAGGTGCTTTGGAGAATAATTTGACCCCCTCTCAAATACTGGAACACTGCCATCATGGCACCCCTAGTCCTCTTTTTCACTAGACTAAGAGTTAACCAAGCAGAATTGCCATGGTTTGCAGAACCCGCCAATTAAGATTAAACTCCAATGGCTTAGACCAACGGTCTGCTTCTACAACTGTCTACAAGGGCTGGCTTCCCAACTTATATCAATCGTGTCTGGGGTTGTGTGAATGGGGGAGTAAGTGATGTCTCACAGCAAGACCAAGAAGTTTAAAAAAAAAGAAAAAAGAAAATAAACGAGACTCTGCAAAGTTTCTCCTACTTAGGAAAGTTCAATCTGGGTTCGTGGGATCTTCTTCCAAGTCCCCTTCCAATTCTATTATTGTCAGATCTCCACCTCCCAAATTCCATCCCAACTGAGATACTTACGGCATTGCCGTTGGCGGGAGCATCCCTGCCATTTTCTGTTTCTTCCACAACTTCCTTCTTTTCTTTCAAATCCTTAAAAAGGGGGAAAAAAAAAAAAAAAAAAGAATAAAAAAACCAGGATGAGTCATGGGGATTCCAGCTTTGCCGTCCAAGACCGCTGCAGATTCACAAGGCAGGGAGAATGACGGCCAACCCTTTCCCTCCCCCCCTTTTTTTTGGGGGGAAAAAAATGTAAACACAACAGGACAACTACTACAGAGGAACTGAGAATCGAGACTTGTAACTTTCTTTGTGGCCCCTGGTTTCGTTCAATACAACCCAACACACAACCCCCCCTCCAAGAGAGGGGATTAACCGAACTTTTAAAACTCTTCCCAAGGCAATGTGTATTCGTTATACGTTTTTATTCTTTTTCTAAGATGGTTTTCAAGGGCTGCCTTCTCTCCATCTCTCCCCTCCCTACAAGTGAGCGTGCGGTTCCTTGGCAAGGCAGGGTGACCTGCCACTAAACAACTTTCTCCCCCCTCCCAATTCCCTTGCACTGTTATGTCTTGGCGTGTTTCAAGCTGGAAATGCAATGGGCATTACAGATTTACAACCTCCGGCTCCCCCACCGGAAAAAGGGAGGGGGCTCTCATATAAACACAATTCAGCAAACACACTCCTGGGCCTGCCTTGGGGGGAAAAAAACAAGGCTCCATGAGGGGAGCTTGGCAAGGGCTACTATGCATTCTTTACAGAGCTCAGCCATAAATACGGAAGCCCCCTTTTCTTTCCCCCCAAAGCATTTGAAGAGCAGCTGTCTTAAACCTCACAAACAGCTTCTGGCCAAACCCCATTAGCAGTTTCAGACCCCCCTATACAAGCTCACAGATCTTAGCGGCCGCACATTCCTCAAAACCTTGGCCAAAGTGGGACCGAGGATCAGGAATTTGCTTTTTTTTTAAAAAAAAAAAAACTCAACTGATTGTATACCCTTTCCATCTTTTTGCAATCTCGTAGGGTTGCGAAAGCTGGGTTGATTTGTGGCCGTCTAGATATCCCTTCTAAAAAAAGCAAAACATAGCTTGCTCTGTGATAGGAAAGCAGCAAAATTCATGGAAAAAAGGGAACCTGATTTCCAAAATTTAAACTTTTTTACTTTAAGGTCAGAGGTTTATCCTGAGCTAAACCTGCTTTTTATGCTGGAAAAGCCGCTGCTTGTTGCTGCCTCCAATGCCATTCCAAGATCACAAACACAGTTTTTCCCCCTCCTTTTCCCTAGACAGAGTTCTCCTAGAAAATCACCGACCACAGCCTGCAGCTTACAAGCAACAACACGTTTGAAGTCATGTTTACGTCTTTGACAGATCCCGATAAAGAGTCCCTGTAATTATAAGCCCAGCAAAAGCTGTTTACTGCTTCAAGGCCAGCCACAACATGGCAGGAGGGATGATCCTAAAGTTTCGATCTAGGAAAGGCAAAACCAGCTGGATATCAATAGTAAAAAGGACACAAAACAATATGCCAAGGTCTGGCGCTGTGTACATCTCAGAGGCACCATGATTTATTAATAGCCATTTACCAAAGAAGAGAATAAAGGCAATAAAACAGAAGTCCTAATAAGGCAGACACACATACAACCCCAGTAACACTGCAGCTTTTAGCCAAAAACCACACACTGCCAAGTGCATTGATGCACCCATTCCAGGCATTCTTAAGTGCTTCTGTGCCTAAATCTTAATTAGGCAAAGTGTGTGTGTGTGTGTTTGGCATTGGCTTTTCAAAAGCCCATTTAAAAAAAAAAAAAAAAACAAGCCTGCAGTAACAATATCCTCCTTCCTGCAGGGGGCGCAAGAGCCGGGAGGGGGGCCCCCAGCGGCCGGCGGGCGGGCAAGCGAGGCCACGCGCTCTGGGCCAATTCAAACCTGCGCGCCACAGTTGGCGCCACTTCGATTGGCCAGCCGGCCCCAACCTCCCAAGGCACGCCGGGGCGCGTAGTTCTTCCCGAGCGGGAGTGCGCAGTCGAGGAAATAGGAAGCGGCCGGGAAAGCGAACTACGGCTCCCAGGAGGCGCCGCGCGGGCGGGACCCGAGAGAGAGAAAAGCGGCACGTGGTGGGGCGGCTTTGGCTTTGCCGCTCGCTCGCTGTTTACCGCGGCCGCAGACAGCCGGGGGCGGCGCTGGAGAGAAGGAGAGCCGCCGCCCGCCTGGGAAATCAATCTCAAGCCTCT